GACCATCACCTCATGTTGCAGCATGATAATGCATGGCCCCATGATGCAAGTATCTGTACACAATTCCTGGAAGCTGAAAACATCCCAGTTCTTGCATGGCCAGCATACTCACCGGACATGTCACCCATTGAGCATGTTTGGGATGCTCTGGATCGGAGTATACGACAGCATGTTCCAGTTCCTGCCAATATCCAGCAACGTCGCACAGCCATTGAAGAGGAGTGGACCAACATTCCACAGGCCACAATCAACAACCTGATAAACTCTATGCGAAGGAGATGTGTTGCACTGCGTGAGGCAAATGGTGGTCACACCAGATACTGACTGGTTTTCGGACCCCCTCGGACCCCCCAATACAGTAAAACTGCACATTTTAGAATGGCCTTTTATTGTGGCCTGCCTAAGGCACACCTGTGCAATAATCATGCTGTCTAATCAGCATCTTGATATGCCACACCTGTGAGGTGGATGGATTATCTCGGCAAAGGAGAAGTGCTCACTAACACAGATTTAGACGGATTTGTGAACAATATTTGAGAGAAATAGGCCTTTTGTGTTCATAGAAAAAGTCTTTAGATCTTTGAGTTCAGCTCATGAAAAATGGGGGCAAAAACAAAAGTGTTGTGTTTATAATTTTGTTCAGTGTATATATATATAATTTTTTCCTCAATTTCTGTGGAGTGATGTTATTTTATGATGTTTGTGATATTTAATGCTCACATATGCTGTGACAAAGAAATATGAAACTGGTATAATAACAAATTAAATGCACAGGAATTATGCTGTTTCTTTTTTATTAGTCTTTCCTAAATGTAATACGCATGAAAGCAAGAAGCCACAAACATTAAAGACCAACACAATTACAAATATGGACATGCAACTCAAGAACAGGAAGAAAACAAAAAAAGAAAACAAAATGAACACTTAACAGGCATAACAGGAAGACACCACATACACAATGCTCTAGTCCTTGCTAGATGCAGGGGTATTCATACTTAGATTAATGACACCTGCCTTATCAATATTATCGGCAATAGATCTCGTCAGTATGCGCATTTTTTCATCAATGCTTTCATGGTACACGACACAACTGAACAGTGTACCGCTCTTCCACTCTGAATAATCAACTGTTAGCTGACTGTACACTGAGAAGTATTTATCATTCTGAATCGGCAGGCTAGTGTTGTAACTGTACCCAAGAGTCACAGGTTCATCATCAGCAAGCCAAGACACAAACACCTCTTTGGGGTAGAAGTCCTTCACATAACATGTCAGGGTCATCTTTTCACCCTTTTTGTGCTCTGGGGGTGCTAATATGTAAACAGAGGGTCTCTTGGGTTCTTTACCTAGTAACACAAGGTCACAATTAAGACCAAAATGAGTCATGAGTCATTCTCTTATTATTATTTAATTTTTTTTGTCAAACTCTATATTAACGTCAGTTGTAATGAAAGATGGTGTAAATCAAGAGACCTTGTAATAGCATGAACTGCATGATGTTTTACAAAAAGAAAAGCCATACCATTTTCTCTGATGAACTTAGTTGCCTTGGGCTCTGCTAGCTCGTTGTGTTCAACGGTGCATGTAAATTCGGTGCCATTGCTCCATTCTTCATAGCCAATCTGGGCGACAAGTTCCACATATTTTCGGTTTTCCCCTACTGCTGCCTCAGCGATGGCATTATTATTCGCTTTTATTGTTATTTTGGTGAAACCTGAATTTTCTGCTGAAGCTTTGCACTTCAGCTCTCCTTGTTTATTTTTCAGCATGTCTTCAAGGGAGGGAGGCACTATATCAACAGCAATATCGGTGTAATCTTGAATAAGAGCTGGGTACAAAAAGCAGACAGATTTGGGGAGACGCAAACATAATATTCATTAAAAAAAATAAAAATAAAAGAAACCATTTTCAAAACATTCATAGTTCTCAAGAGAAAACATACCTGCATATTCGGCCTCAATATCTTCATTTCCCGCCATGTGCACAAACTCACACTTAACTTTGCTGTTTGGCTGCTTCCATTTGTCGGCACTGATTTGCAAAATGCTTGTTGCGCTATATTTGGTTACTGATCCTTTCTTCTCACTTTTGTCATATTTGTCTATCACATCTGTCACCTCCTTACCATCCTGAAACCACTTAAACACGTATGTTTTAGGTGAAAACCGCTGGGCTAAACACATGAAGGTTGCTGTTCCATTGTCTAACTCCATTTTTGTAGGTACTGTTAAGTACACATCTGCACGCTGATCTGGCGGTGGGACTGGCAACATACAGGAGAAAGCAGAGAGGACATGAAAAGCAAAAGAAAAGTGCAACATGACTTTTTAAGCAAGCAAATAAAATGCTCTTGTAGAGTTTGAACGTCAATGTTAAATGCTGTATATTTATTTAAAAAAAATGTTCCCCTATATTTTGGTTCATAAGGTGGGGGGGAAATTTCATATGTCATTGCATTCCCTGACATAGGCTTTCAGAAATACTTCATTTCTGACTCTAAGGGTATTTCATTGATTTAAAAAATAATGTAGCCTATTATGTGCTTTTCTGTTCTAGCGTTTTTAGACTCACTATACTTGTAGTCTTGCTGTTCTCAGCTGGTGTAAACACTGACTGACATCAGACTTTGATCAAAATATAACAGGAGGTTCACTGGTTAAATAAACCAAAGAGTGTGCTAAAATTCCAATTCAAACATGAGTCTCCACAAAGAAACCACAACAAAATATCAATCCAACAGCAAGATACAATAGAGAGACACATGAAGTAGCTAATATAAAATGGTAGACATTTTAGAAATGTAACTCACGTGATGGAACAGGAATGTTTTTACTGCCTTGAGAATTTGAAGCTTCGCATGTGTAAGGCTTTTGAGGATCCCAATCACTTTTCCTCACACGCAGATGGCTGATTTTGGTATAGTCTCCATTCCGTCCAAACGCCGGATACTGCACAAAATCACTCAACTCATTTGTAGCAAAATCCTTCCATTTAAAAGTAAGCGAGTCCGCAGGTGAGAAACCTCTTGCCAAGCAGCCGATGATGAGGAACCCATCAGAATCAGAAGTACACTGAGACATGGCAAAGACTGACTTTGGTGCAGATGGTTGAGCTGTAGAGACATTGCATCTTTCTCAGACAAAATATACAACCTATAACGTAGCCAACATATGCAACACTATTAGGCCTATTAGATAGCTAGGCTACATCTCGAATGACTGAATGGATGGATGAATTAATTAATAAAATAAAATATGAAAAAAAATCAAATGGATTACAAAATAACATAAAACAAATTGATTGAGTTTAACTGGTTTTACACGAGATGAAAGACACCGCGGAGTCTCTTCATTTTGCGTTGAAGTCCGATCATCCTAACTTTGCAGTAATGATCAATGCTGCACACAATGCCTACTATATTACATATTGATTTGAAATTGTGGAGACCGGAAAGACAGAACACGAGCACAGCTATTTTGAAACAGGTTTCCCGAATGAGCAGTTGTCCTGCCGGCTGTTTTTAGTTTTAGACGTTGATTGACCCATTAGAATAAACTATTTATACACAATTTAAACAAAATCTCGTGAATCGGGTGAAATATTTCTTTCTCTTGGATGCTGTAATAAACAAAGTGTTATATATCTAAACTAATTTATTACTGGAATTTTTGACTGCAGAATTACTTTTCAGTTTGTTTCAAATGGGATCAGTCACAAATGAATCAGTTCATAACCTATGAAATGTGTAAGTTAAAACAAACAAATAGAATAAAAACAGTCCAAACCTTTTGAAAATTAAATAAGAGCACTATATAGCAGTTTGTGACCATGGAATCATGCGAAAACGTGATCAGTAAATACTGGTTGGTTATCGTCCAAAGATATACGGCGATGCTTTATTCATTCATTTATATAAAACATCTTAATTATTTCAGAACAAGGTATGTAATCTGTAATTTAAAAATATAACACGTAATGGCTGTAGGTCTTATATTTATACTCTGGCTTTTCAGCGTCTATTTGCGCAGATTAAGCCAACACATGCAAGAAAATGAACATTGAAAGGAGTCGTTTAACAATAACTACTGTTATTGATTTTTTTTTTAGCAGCTACAACGAAACAATTTTATAAAATTATGTAGGTCTGTACAATTTCTAATGAAATAACCATTCATCTGACAACAATTCATAGAAAACTCTCAATATATAATAAAAACTGTAAACAATAACACATACATTGACAGTTTGTCTTATTTTACGATTCAACTGATCTTGCAATTAATAATAAAATCTTACCGTTTGTTACGGTGACTTTAGTGCCGCTTCCCAAGTAGTCGAAAGCCCAGTTACACAATATTATTTAATGTTACAGCGCAGTATAAAACTTACATCAAATTATTAAAAAATTAATTCATAATTAATGTGAATCTTTGCGTTTCTAGAAACTCTAAAGACATGTCCCGACTTTAATTGTCCTATATCGTAGAATAAGTGAATCGCCATTGAAATGTTGCTTAAATGTAAAAACAACTTTGACAAATTACCGGTCACCTTTTTTTCGTACTTAAATTAGATTTTGTTTTAGGTTTTTCTTACCTGACGAGACGGTGACCATGGTTCCTTTCCTCTAATGAAAAGAATTGTCACACTGACAGTTTTACCCATGGATATTTTACAAAAAGCTATGATCCCATGACAAGTCACTTATATTTATTATCCTAACCCACAAATTCGACTATTTATCCTTTTGATGAGGTTTATTCTTGCAAAACGTGCAAGCGGTCTGTGCGTTTAGTTTTACTTTTATGATTAAAACATATGCCAACGTTTATGAAAAACTTAAATTTTACTTCTTACCAGATGTCACTGTGACCGACGTGCCTTTTCCCCAGTAGTCAAAGGCAGCAGAGTCACAGTGATACTTTAAATTTCTTCAATGCACAAAAACACAAATTATTTTTTATATCAGCAAACCCAGCAACAATCCTATTTATTTCATAAATAAATGCAGCACTGTCCATGATCTTTTTTCTTCTTCTAGTGGGCTAAAAAGACTGTTCATAAACATGCATTTTGTTGTTTGTATAACTAAACAAAAATCTGCTTCTTACCTGATGTTACAGTCACTGTTGTTCCCTTTCCCCAGTAGTCAAAGGCACCGCCACAACGGGAAGGTTCACGATAAGAGCCATACCATAACCCTAGTACAGGGGTGGCGAACTCCGGGCCTGGAGAGCCGCACCCCTGCAGAGTTCAGCTCCAACCCTAATTAAAACTCACCTGACTGTAGCTTTCTAGTAACCCTTCAGACCTTGATTAGCTTGTTCAGGTGTGTTTGATTAGGGTTGAAGCAAAACTCTGCAGGGCTGCGGCTCTCCAGGACCGACGTTCGCCACCCCTGCCCTAGTACTTGCATAGCCTAGCTCAGAGATCCTCAAATCTGGCCCACTTCCTGCAGAGTTTAGCTCCAACCCTAATCAAACACACCTGAGCATGCTAATCAATGTCTTCAGGATCATTCGAAAATTACAGGTAGGTGAGTTTGATCAGGGTTGGAGCTAAACTGTGCAGCGCATTCAGGGGTGGATTTAGTGATTTGGGGGCCCCAGGCAAAATACAGGAATGGGGCCCTATACAATTTCACACATTTACAACCTTGAGGTTTCTTTCACTGTTGCTCGCTGCTGGACAGTGTCCCATAGTTGTGTCCAATCTTTTAGATTTTTCATGTACATGTTATAAATTAAGGATTTCTCCTGTTCGGCTTCCTGGGGTGTTACGCATTTCGGGGGAAGGGTCCATAGGTCCTCATATGGCTTGTTAACTGAGGGGTGTTACAGAGTATTTGTTAAATCTAGCTAACAAAATATATATTGTGTGTTTGATTGGTCCAGACGCTACACTGTGTTTCTTAATGTCCTCTCACTACATCTAAAACAGTGTGTCCACAGAGAAGGGTTCAATCATTCATGTGCAATAAAATGGATTTAAAAAAAAATGTAATGATGTAAAAGAGCTTGTTTTATCAAAAGCAACACTTAATAATATCTCCTATCAAAGCAAGGTTGTTTTTTTAATGACACATGCATGTTTCATACGATTTTAAAGTTGCGTCCCCACTTTTTGT